AATTCATGCTCCTTCAAATCATCGGGATTCGGGAATCAAAGGCAGCATATGAGAGGCCATGATCACACCTGACTGAGTGCAGGGCAGAGAGTACACTTCGCACTCGGGCTGGGAGGGCCCCTGCACACCCTTCACCCAGTGCTTCCTCCAACTTCAGCCCAGCGGTGAGTAGCCCAGAGAGCCCCTGCGGCTGGTCTGCCTCAGAGCCTTCCACCTCCTTCAGCAGGGAGAGGAAGGGAGTCTATGTTTAGACTTGCTTAGTATCAAGAAATTAGCTAAACATAAAAGTGAGTCAAAAAGCTCATCTAAGTCTGAGACCTATCTTTTTTTAAAAGTTCAAATAATGATATTGAAAATACAAAGTAAGAAGTAATTGCTACTATGAGTTGGTCTGTGGACGTTTCAGGTGGCAAAGTTATTTTCCAATTAAAATTAGGATTGCTTTATTTTTTCACCTTCTCTTTCTTCTGAAAGAGTATTTCTTACAGTTAGCTGACTGCGGAATATACTGAAGACAGAAAACCCCACATACCCTTGCCCTTATTACACTGCAGCTGCACTGGGACTCATTCATTTGGCAAACAGATTTGTGCTGAGTGAGCAAGACCCATCTGAGGAGGCACAGGAACAATGTCAGTGTGTGTGTGTCCTTTCTGTGTTCCTTGGGTTTCTCCTGCATTCAGCATATTCAATCCCTCTTCACCCAGGAGTCTTGTGCTTTTGGTGATAAAGCAGGTACTTTGATCCACCTGGTCACAGCTGGTAAGCAGCAGGAGAAGAGGAGTTCAGTTTCAGGTTACCTAACGTCAGGTAGGTACGTTAAGTATCTATGGTAGATTCAAGTACAGGTGTCCAAGAGGCTCTTGGATATACTTTCCAAGGGAAGTATCTACAAGAATAAATTAGACTGCCCAGAAAAAAATAGACAGAGAAGAGGAAACAGGGCCTAACCTGAGGAACACTAATACTTAAGGTCCCCAGAGGGGGGAAGAACCTACAGAGAGGGTGAGAAGGAGCCATCAGGTCAGTGATGCAGGTGGGAAAAGAAAGTGTGGCATCACAAAAGCCTGAGGATGAGAGCATTCTAAGACAGAATGATCACGGGTGTCAAATGCTACTGAGAAGTTAAGGACTACAGAGTGTGATCAACAGACTTGGCAATGTAACATGTAACTTCTGCAAAACGCCTCTTCCCAAAGTCCTTGAATCTTCCATTCCTAGTCCTCACCCTATTTTCATATTTTAGCATTTAAAACAGAGGGTTGGGGTGGTGGTGGGTTTTTCTCTTGTGATTTTTTAAGTCTTAGGAATGTGACTTCTCTAAATCTTTAGGCAAAGTCAACCTAAACCTAAAGTAACGAAACTGGGGCAAGTAGTTTATTAAATTTAGATACTGACAGGAAAGAGTTAAGAGGAGAGAAGGACAGTAATACTTATTAAGTGCTTATTTGTTAACAAGTGCTGCTTCTAGAAACTACAAGTTTTATTTCCAAATAACTATGGCTTTGGGCAAACCAAAAGCTCAAATAGATTCATTTTTCTAATCGGCTAAAGTGGAATGATGTCTGTTCCATCCAACCAACGCTAGGAGACCTAGAGTTTTTTTGTGATATCTTCTAGGCCAAGTAGATCAACAAATACTAACAGAGAGAGTAAGATTATTTTCCTACCTCCTCCTTCCTGGCCCACCTGTAACTTCACTGCAGTCTTGGGTTACCAGAACCCCGAGCTCAGAACTTAACCAAACACAGGCTAATACCACTGCCACACACAAAGGCCCAGCAAGACAGTGGCCTGGAGTCGGGAACACTGTATTCGTGGGTAGGGAATGGTGCTTTTCATATATCTCAACCTTACAGTCACTGCTGCTCTGAGGACTTAGAATTGTTTTGATATTTGAAAACATAAAATAGATTTCTAGCCCATCTGTCTGTCCCCTTCAGTTTGTGTCACAGCACTCTGACTGCAAGGAAGGCCAGTCTAGTTAGAAGGTAGCTACAAGGACAGTGAATGACGGTGGCTTTCACCAAACGGCAGGGGTGGGGGGAGGGTGGATTTGCGGGGGGTGAGTAGAAAGGGAATCAGAGATTTTAAAGATACACAGGAAATGTACACTTCCACTCCTGCTTAAATGTCACCTCTCAATGAAGTCTTTCCTGACCATGTGGTCTAAAATATCCCACCTCTACCCATTACTGCCTAGCTCTTTGCCTCAGCTTCCCTTTATAATAAGTATACCTCTTTTAGGACAGTGGTAAGGATTAAATGTATCATACAGGTCACTGTTTAAAACAGGGGGTGGCACACAGTAAGTATTTAATGTACATTAACTTTTACCAATATTATTATGTATTACTTTTTAATCTAATCACTATTTCATTCTAGCATGTTTAATATTCCAGAAAGCATTATTTTGGTTATCTACTTATTTACAAAGTTGTCATCTGACTTCTTAATCTCTACAAGAAAGGGCCTAGGTTATCTTCCCACTAGAAAAAAATAAATAAAATAGATGTCAGCAATGATAATACTGGATTTTATTAAGGGCTAAGTATTAGGCAACGTACTAGTTTCTTAAATGGATTATGTCTTAAAACATAAAACAAAAACAAGACAAAGTGTATTATGGTTCCAATTATGACTCCATTTTAGAGTAGAAGCTCAGAAAGGTTAAATAATTCACCCAAAGTCTCACAGCTAGTGAGTTATTAGAGTTTAGATGTGAACCCAGGTGTGACTCCTGGTTTCGAGAGCCACTGGTCTAGACCACTTCAAGATACTGCCTCATGTTCTGGATACACCATACTTAGAGCTAAAAATTACCAAGAATCTCTAACGACCTCTACTTTATTTCCATAATCTGTTCCCCAATGCCACTGTATCTCCCTAATCTTTCCCAAGAAAACCTTTAACTCATTAATTTTTCTTCTGTTTCTTTATAAATCCATTTGTTCCCCAGATCAGAGTAAGAGAATACACGGAGAATCAAACAATCTAGAAGAACAAATAAGATTAAATGAGTGATCTCAATGACTTTTCAGTTTTACCCAGAAGGATCCCAAGATGAGGATTAATGAACATCAAATGTAGACGTGGCAGCTACCAGAAGACCTACAACCAACAACCTAAGAACACATTTTAATAGCAGTGGGCACTATATTTCCTTTTTCCTCACAAAGTGAGAACTTTTGATACTTGGTCACTGAGTATTATGTAATTTCCCCAAACTTGCAAAATTTATCCAAAACCAGATCAGTAGTAAAGGGATGGGCTGAGGAACCAGTGAGTTAATAAGACAACTATAAACCATGTCAAAAGTGAAAAGAAGCTCACTGATGTTACTTCTGCTTTTTTCCATAATACTCAGAACACTAGCTTTGGGCTAGTTTTCCCAAGAGTGAATCAAAGTTAGACAGAGGAAGGCAATTTTCCATAGTCACTTGGACACTTGTCAAATGCCACAGATCCCAGACCTTTCATTGCCACTTTAATGTTGCCCCAAAGGCCTTGTCATCAGAGCTTCCCCAAATCCTTTGGTCAGGACAGCAGATGAGGCAATTCTATTTACTGTTCGAAAGTACTCATCTTGTGAATATAACAAAACAGAAACAGACTCACAGATATAGAGAACAAATTAGTGGTTACTGGGGGGAGAGGGAAGCAAGGAGGGGCAATATAGGGTAGGGGCTTCCGAGATACAAACTACTATGTATAAAATTAATCTATTACAAGGATATATTGTACATCACAGGGTATACTGCCAATAATTTATAATAATTATAAATGGAGTATAATCTATAAAATTTTGAATCACTGTTATACACCCAAAACTAATATAATACTGTAAATTAACTGTATCTCAATAAAAAAAATTTTTTTAAGGTTAAAAAAGAGTAGTAGGGTAGGGAGGGCTATAGCACAGTGGTAGAGCGGTATGCTTGGCATGCACAAGGTTTTGGGTTCAATTCCTAGTACCTCCATTAAAAAAAAAATCCTCATCTTTATTTCAATGTTTTCTACATATAAACAGACTCAAAGCCACTTCATTCATAGAATTTAAAATTTAGCAGCTTACTTATTTTTTTAAAATATCATTTTGTGTCTCAATCAGCTAGTGATATATTGGATGGTATCAATAACATGAGCTGAAAGAACTACCATGTAATATATAACTACTATGTAATATTTTAGTTAAAAGTTCTATTTACTTATAATATTATTTATTTTAATATTGACTTATAAATCTTACAGATTTTGGCAGGATGGGCCACACAGGCCAAATGTTTTTATCAGTTCCCCCTCCCCTTCAGGAAACCAAATGCCATTTAGTTGATGTTCACATCCTTCCAATTAGTTCACTATCTTCTGCAAATGAAAACTTTCACAGATCATGATAAATAAGAATTCTATAAGAGAATGTTTCTAGTTTAATCAAATATCCAAAATGATAACTATGAAAACTATAAAGAAGTGATCACTTCTCTATAAAAAGTTGGAAGGCTGCTCTGGGGAGGAAACATTTCTCTTCCATATAGCCAATTCTGAGTAATATTCTGATTTAGTCTTCATTATTTATTCCTATATGAAGCTGACCTGTGCATAGTAAAAATCCATGTATTAAGTCATTCAGAACAGAGCTCTCAGTTATCACGTGGAGAATGGGAAATCACCAGAGGCTAAGAGCTAAGTCAAAACTGCCAGCATCTCTTCTTGTTAAAAAAGCACCAGCGTACACTACTATATATAAAATAAACAATAAAGACCTACTGTATAGCACAGGGAACTACATTCAATATCTTGTAATAATCTACAATGGAAAAGAATCTGAGAAAGAATATATATATATGTATATATTTATAACTCAATCACTTTGCCGTACACCTAAAACTAACACAACATTGTAAGTCAATTATATTTCAATTAAAAAAATTTTTAAGACCAAAAAAAAAAGCACCAGTGTATGCTGGATGTATTCACGTAAAAGATATGTGATCACTTACCTGCTTCTCTTTCTTCTGTATTTTCATTATCATCTATTGAAGGCAATTATTTTACTTCTGTAAAATATAAAAACGGCAAAGATTATGGTAAAATCCAAAATACAACATTTTAGCTTATCTCAGGGTTAGCCGTGATACGTGAGGAAAACACGGACTAGAGGACTCCTCTACAGCACGTTCATAATCAGTAGTCTTCAAGCCCAACAACTGCCAGAGCCCTAAGCTCTAGCCCTACCTAGTCCTATCCCAGACCCTGACTTATTGCCCCAGAGAGGGTGAAGTCAGAAAGATACTGTCTTTGTAGATAAAACAAGTTATAAAAGATGCTGGCATATTAAATTACAAGGGAAACAAAAAGAAGAAGCAAAAATAATGACATGACTCTGTTGAGAGGAGTGGAGAAGGGATGGAAATCAGTGAAGCCCTCATTTCTTTTGGAAGAAAATCAATAAATAATGCCTACAATTGATAAATCAAGAAATAGAAATACACACAATAAAAAAAGAGAGAGCTAAAAGACTTCTCTTGAAGGAGAGAGGAGTTGGTATGAGACAGGACAGGGCAGTCTTGCATTTCATCATATACTCTCCTACATTACTTGAATGTTTTAAACCATGTGTATTCCAACTATACAAAATAAATCCCAATCCAATCTCTCATGATTTTTAAAATGATTTTATTGTAACCACAACTTAAGCACCATCCCTACCCCAACCAAAACGCCCGTGACGACATTGAATTCTTTCTTGTAAGTGACTTTTCAGCACCTTAGCAACAAGAGCCCAGCAAGTGGCTTTAGAGGTCTAGAAGTGCACTGGGGCATCCCAGGGAGCAATAAGAACCCTGTTCCAGGAAACCCGAAATTTGGGGCTGCCTGAATCGTTACTCTCACCTTCCTCATATACAAAGAATGGAAGAATCACAGAATCTCAGCTTCCAGCTCTAACCTGAATGTTGATACCACCTCATTTTTATTGTTTACTTTGATTTCCTGGACATCCCACAGAGCTACAGAACACCACCCCTCGGGAAACCATCCTGGAAGGGCACAATTATCCTTAGGCTCATAATTATTTCTCATATCCAAATGAAAGTGATGTGTAGGCATTAAGCAGAACTCCAAGATTAAAGTGAGATGGATCTAAGTGGGATCATGGTGTGTCTGATGCAACTGAGAAAAATGAAGGACTTGTGATTCCAATCATCCCTGGGGACACAATTACAGTGTCCATTTGTCAGTTTAAAGTTTGTCAATTTAGGGTTTTTTATTTTCCCCCTCCAAGAGTCATAAGCATCTTCTATTAAAAGGACCATAAAATGCTACTAGGATATTTCTGCTTGCAAAGAGCATAGCATCCAAGGAAGTAAGAAGCTGCAAAGTGGGCTAAGGCAGGGCCTGGACCAAGGGGGAAGGAGAGGAGGGCAGAGAAGTGGCCAAATCAGGAAAACAGAAAGTCAAGTCAGTAAATGGTGCCTCTGAGGATCACTGTGAGGATTAGCATTTGATGGAACCATTATTCACCTCAAGCAAACCATAAACTTCTGAGAAAACACAAGGTACGGGCTCGGATCAGGGCAGTTCAAAGAATTATACCCTCTAATCTTCATTATAGTGACGTCAGTTCCCAGTGAACTATATCAGCATAAGGTTATCGCCTTTATCTCTCAGCTTCAAATTATTAAACCCCAGAAAACCAACATTCTCAACCATCACAAACTGTCACAAATTTTCAATTGAAGAAAGAAGTTTGGAAAATAAATTCCAGCTAATAAAAAGGGATATTGTCAATAACCAGACATGGGTACTCAAAATTCTACCCAAAAAAGTGAAATAAATCATTTACAAAATACCAAGAAAGTCCAATGCCAATAAAATTATTTTAATATAGAAAAAAATAAGTACAGTGCAGTAAAGACATCAAACACCACAATTTCCAATTAAGTACCACAAACTAGCATGCAAATAAGCAGGGCCCTGCCCTGCTTAGGAATGCGGGGGTAGGTCAAACTGATTCTTGCTGGTGGCACTTTTCTTTGTTTCAAGCTTCCCAGAAGCACCCAGGCAACGGGCCACTAGATCTATAAGCTGCTGCAGTCCTTTAGTCTGCAAGTCGTGCATCCCAAGGAAATAAGCCGGTAGGAAACAAAGCTGAGAGGAAGCACAGGGATAAGGGGGGCTACATGTGAAAATGCCTGCCACAGCAGCGTGTCAGCTCTGGAGCCGGCCACGGAGATCACACAGGTCCACTGTTCCTTGGGCCTGTGTCTTCACAGGACATGGTAAGACCAGAGAAGGCAGATGAGCACAAGCTGGGAAGACTGGAAAGAGATGGGGCTGACCCAGTGCGGCTTGAATTTGATTACTCAGTAAAGAGAAGGCTTGGAGGAAAAGAGCTGGGTGAAGGATTCTAAACCAAATCTCACGCTCCCCCACAACTTGTTCACATGCAAGATATTGCCACTGGCACCTTCAGCAATATTCATGCTGCACAGATAACCCCACCCCATCCTCTGAGAGGAGACAATGTGTGTGTGAAATCCAAGTGAGTTTGCGGGATGTTACAGTAGGAATCACTGCTCCAGTTCACTGAAACAGTCTTTGGCCAACCTCATGTTGTTATTGTGAAATCATTTCCAGCACCCCAGTGGTGCCACACACCATCACGCTGCCAACCCCACAAGATGAAAGATGTCACAAACAACATCATTGGGTGTTCAATAAGCATTTGTTGACTTTTAATTCTCCAAACAGTACCTAATAGTTAACAAAGCACTCTCTCTTAAGTTACCTGTACTTTTTTACCTGTTTGATGGTACATGTTTAAAAAATACAAAACTACCTACCCTTTTTGTAAGGCTAAATTTTATGTAGCAAGAATGGTTGAAGAAACACACCCTAAAGCAGGCTCTTCTGCCCAAGACTGGAAAAGGCTTTTCACCCTCTGCTGTTGTGTTACTGTCACTCAAGAGTTGTGATTAGATAGATCTTTTTGGTCAATAAAGTACAAATTAAAACAGACCCCCACAATTTAATCAGAAGCATAATACGTATTCTGAAACTCCTAACTGTGGACAAACCAGGAGATTTGTCAACAGAGGAAAAAAGTGTATGAAAAACAGGAAAAGTGTACAGCTTCTGAACTGCATGAAAACTGGGAGGCCTCCGCTCGCCTCACTGCATTTCAGTGCTTACGTCTGAAAGTAGCATTTAATTTACAAGGTTAGCTGCTAATAATATAAAAATCAAACAATGTAAAAATTTCCATTCCTTCTTACACTCACCCACCTAATGATGCTTCTATTAAGAAAAATGGGTGCCAGGTTTCTGTAAGAGCATTTTGAAATGTGTTATTTCTCCCCAGTTCATAAAGTCGGCCCTGGTGCCTGTGCCTCATTCAAGCTCCTCAGTCTTGCGTTATGGATTCTTAAAAATAATAAAACATTGGGTATACACTATTTCACCATTCATTTACAGAAATTATTTAGATTTACTCTACCTGGAGAATTCTGCTACCTGGGGTCTATTTCATTACAAGAGTGTGTGTTTATGAAAACACGGACAAGTGCACACACAGCAGACTGCTACCACGGTCCTTTATACTCACAGGGACAGCAGAGACACAACTGACAGCAGGAAGGATGGGGACCTCTGCTCTCTTAACAGACTCCCGTCCCTTCCACTCTATCAGGCACCCTGGGACAGAGAGTAAGTGGGAAGCAACTTTAAAAATCAAATATACCTCAAAATTTCCACAATGAATATGTTATTTATATCATCTATTTGTGCCCACCCTCAACTCTGAAGCTGGTTCCTAAGAACCACTCTCACAACAGCAGGCACAAATAAGGCAGTCCCACACTGTCGCAGGTGGGACTTGAGACGGGGAATAGGAAGGGGACACGGGGAATAACAGTTCATCTGAGAAAAATGAATCAAGAAGGGAATGAGGAGGTCTGAGGGAATGCCACCTCCCTCAGACCCTCATCCAACCACTTCTTACCAAGACTCTTTACAGACATTCTTGACCACAAAGAGGGTCTGATGGGCAAGATAGCCCTCAAGCTTTTCATCTCCCTACCTTCCCACCCACCCTCCACAAACTAGACAGATTTATCCATGTCTTCTGCTGGGCCGGAAGCAGTCCATAGGAGGGCAACTGCAAGGGTCTGAAGGGCCAAAACGCAGAGAGAAAATCCAGGCTCAAAATGATAAGCCAGCTAAAACCTCTTCCAGACTTTGTTTCCTCAACTATAAAACAGAGTTTTACCTTTTTTTTTTTAACCTACCACATGAAGAGCTGAGAATCCAGGGTCTGTCACACAGTGACCATGAGCAGCCATTAGTGGTGCCTGTCCTGTGGGACTCCCGCCAGCGGCAGAGAAGGAAGGTGGCCCCTCTCCTAAGGACAATGAACCCCTCCATCAGTAGTTGGGGTCCATCTTCTGCCACATCAGCCTTCGGATCACTTTGCAGTTAGTCTTTCCTTGTTTCATTCAGGTCCCTCCTCAAGGTCACCCTATCAGTATCAGGCTCAGTGCCCGACACTGGGACTCATAAACCATTATCTGTGTACAGAGTGAGTGAATAAATGGGAAAGCTATGTTTACAGAAAAGCCTTTGAGCTCCCGCTTCCTTCATCATAATTGATGGCCTCTACCTTTTTATCCTTTCCTGTTAATTCTGTTCATTTGTCCAATCAAATTTCTCAGCATTCTTTATTCACACTTTTTCAAATACATGTACTTGGCTTAAGAATTCAATGATATAAAGCTTAAAACAAAAAATATTCCCCTCACTCTATCCTCCCCATTCCTGATTCACTCTTCCAAAAGGTAATCCTTTGATCTCTAGCTATTCCTTCTGCTACTTTCCAAAGTATTTCTAAACATCAGTGATACACCACATTAACAAAACGAAGGATAAAAATCTTATGGTGATCTCAACACATGAAAGAAAGCTTTTGGCAAAATTCAACATCCATTCATGATAAAAACTCTTAAAGTAGGCATAGAGGGAACATACCTCAACATAATAAAGGCTAGCTATGACAAACCCA